AGAGAGAGAGAGAGAGAGAAGAGGGAGAGAAAGAAAGAGAGGCAGCGGATGATACTTACGATAATCGTACGGTCATCATCTTCCCGTTATCTATGATAAATTCTAAACGTAGAACAACGACTACGTAATTTCGTCAAGTCACGTACGTGGCGTACGTTAACCGAGAAAATTTTCTCTCGAAATACGCTCTAACGAACGGATAGCCGTAACTTCGCCGATGTTCGCAAAGGAAAAAAAGGTCGCGAAGACCTCGATGAAATCCTCGGACGTTTTGTTCAATTGACCGAACGGTTAATGTACGGAGAAGTTGCACTGCCTAGGACTTCTGCGATCTTAACCGGTAGGAGAGGTTGATTTTAATGCCAATAATCAAGACGAGTTGTTCGTCCAAATTATCTATATATATATTTATGAGAGTACGATGTGTTAATAACGAAACAACGAGATATGAGTTTAAAAGATGTAACTGCTGTGAAAAGACACAATTACTTTGGTTCTCTTTCGATACTAGCCTGCAACTTATTTCTTATAGAATTTGTTTAAAACTATTAGCTACAAATTCCGCGGACCAAATTGAACTTGGCACGAAAAGGTCTGAGAAACGATAATTTTTAGACAGGTGTTGGAATTGTTGTGTAGCGGTGTAATTTCCAAAATTCGCCTTTCGTCATTTGCGCGTGCAAAAATCGGCAGACGACCAGCGCGCTCGGAATTGATATATAAAGACCTCTCGTGGACCAGCGATTAGCACCGAGTCCGTCGGAAATCCGCCAAGCCTACGGGCCAAGTCAAAGTGCATTCGGTACGATCGCGGGTGAGGGACGAGGAGGGGGGTGGGGGGAGGGAAGTCGTATCGTCGCGAAGATGCACCGGGGTGAATGCCGACGATAGACGGTACGGAGGAGAGAAGTCGTCGTCGCGCTCCGTCGCGTCCGATGTGGCGCAACGGCGATTTCTCGCACATGACTCACCGAAATACGGCATTACGACATTATGCGCGCGGTATTAAAGCCGCACGAACGGGAGAGAGAGAGCATGCCCTGGCGTGCCGGGCACCGCACGAACGACGGCGAGCCACACGACCGGCACGTGGGGTGTAATTTTTGAAGAAGAGTCACGCCCCGGTCGAGACCGGTCGGTTAGCCACCCCTTTTCCACCGACGGCATGTTGCGCCGTACCCCGCATTTCGCGCGCACCGCGGCGTAACGGAGTTGCGTCGGATATCGTCCGTCAATCAGGGAAAGCCCGCGCGTGGAATATAAAGTCGTTGTCGAACAAATCGGGTAGCTGTGAGGAAAGAGATTAGACTCTGGAGATTAGACTCTATAGTAATAAATAGGGAGGCGGGCGCTAAGACGCGCCGCGTAACTGTTGAGAAAAATAACGGCGAGGGACTCTGGAGGATTCCGACCTTCCGATCGGGATTAGGATCTTTCGAGCGACTGCTCTGCCTACTTGAGCTACGCAGGCTCACACTCGATACTCCTCTTGCTTGCCTCTGTTATATAAAGCCAGAACGCTGCGCTAGCAACGCGTCTGCGGAGAGATAATGGGGAACGAGCTGATAAACAAATAAAAAGGACGGTGGTTTATGTTTATGTCTCGAATTATAATTTTTTAACTGATATCATAACTGTTCGCGGTTAAATTTATCGACGGTTCAAGCAACGCCGAAGGGCAGGAAGCAATAATCGTATATTGAGAACAGTCATGGATAATTATCGATTTCGATCTTGCAGCCTACGAGACACGACAGGGGACAGGTAAATGCGACTGTTCTACGGTAACACTGAGTGGCTTTAACACAGCACTTCGCTTAGCCTAAGTCGTCTGTCGGCGCCTGCTCGAGGTAGCGGTATTTTATGATCGGCGCGACTGACTGCAAATTACTCGTCAAAACGCTCGGCCCTTGTCGGGAACGAGATAGAGACAAGAGGCTATCTATCGTAGCAGTAATCTCTCGTAACAACAGTCGCAAGCAGCGGCCAAAAAGAAGAAGAAAGGGAACGAGTCTTCGTGATCGTAAATTTTCGACCTAACAGTTCGTTAATGATCTCACGTGTGACAATTGACAAAAAGCAACGGTTAGGGGACTGTTACGCTAGTTAACGCAGTTTTATAGAAAAATTTAGGATTGTAACATCGACGGTATTCGGCAATTCGAAGAATTTCCTCGGGGACGTGTTTGTTCTCTCGAGGAAACCCACACTGAGGAGTAAATGATTTCTTCTTTGAAAGATTTCATACTTACATGGAGAGTTTAAGGATTCTCTATTGTCGAAAGTCAAGAAAGAAAGGTTTACTTTCCAAGCAAATGAGATAAATAAATTAAGAAAATCCCAATAACCTTAAGACAAACTGGTTTTCCTAATAGTAGGAAACTAAAACAATTGTTATGCAAGTCTTACGTTGACAATTAAAAAGATTCGATAGCGCAGCAAAAACTTTACGTCTAAAAATTATTGTTGGGTTGCTAAAATAACTAATTCTCACAAGAAATCTTTAATTGAATTTTCATCGATATGTTAATAAGATTCAGAGAGTCCTAAGCAAGTGAAAAACTGCACACAAAAGGTATACACTAATATATGTATACAGATATATGCTTTGTTCCTTCCTTTTCTATTATTGCGCGGTTGTCGAGTTTTTGTTCACTGTTACATATTCAACGACAGTTAAAACTAATCGTATACGAGTTACTTAAGAATATTTCGTTTTTCCTATTATAAATGTCATCTTTTTATTATGCTCCTTTTCTAACAATTGTTAATATCAAATCCATTTTAATCTTCCTTCTTAGCTGAGATTAACCTACTTAAATCTTCTTTGTCAGAATATACGAACAGCCAGCAGGTTTCTGTCATAGTAACTAAATCTCAGAGTCATAAAATCGCTTGTAATTAATCGACTACTAATATAATATAATACAACTTGATATTATGGTTGAACAGATTATTGGCGCAATAAAGACAACTTTCTATTAAATACAGTATAACTTAAAATTTCCAATCAAATATATTTATTGAGGTAAGATGTGCCTTTTACCACATTAAAGATCTTTTGTTTTATCATAGAATTAGTTGTTTTAACACTGTAACAATTAATGTTAGGTACAAAGCTTTCGCACTATCCAACCTATTTAATTAAAAACGTATTAAGGTTTGCACAACAAGCGGTAACTTTACTAAAGCGATCAGCCAATCGTTCCTCATACGTTATCACGATCGAAGTTGATGTTGCCGTCATTATTGAAAAAAATCGTGTCCACTTTTTAACCAGGAGTTCGTTAGAAGTGAAAATTACGGTGGCCACGACGCGCCAATTGAAATTGGAGCACGCTAGAGCTCGACTAGGACTCAAAGGCTTAAATACGCGGGTCCAACGTTCGGCCGGGGCCGAAATACACGGGAATGCTCGGGCCATTAGGGCAAGCCAGGTCGAAAGAGAGCGGCGCGATCGTAAATTAGGTGTACCGATGACACGTCGTCGTCAGGGCGATCGTTTCTACGTAGACGAGGGGGATCACCACATGGCACGAGCCGACCGGCCGACCGGGGAGCTATAAATGGGGGGCTCTCGTGCCCGGGCCCGTCATGATAGTCAGGATAGCGTGGCGCGCAATCGAGAAGTTGGTGTCATCTGTTGCATCGGTTACATCCTGACCGGCAGAGCGTGACTGCAGCAGTGTCGGCGGTGGTCGGCCACCGTAAACGAGGGGTGCGCGCACGGGACTAACTATCCCCTAATTGTCGGGCCCGTTAACAATGAGCACCCCCTAACAATCATTTAATGGCAGGTTAGTTCGGTCGTCGATATACCCGGTTCGATTTCCATCGGACTTATTGAAAAGTCTGCGGTCGACGGCGCGCGTACGACGATCCCGGTTCCCTCCGTCGCTGTAGCTCGACGTGACGAGAGTAGATCTGAAGAAAATGCGGGGACGCGCAGTGCAATTGCGAGCAAGAGAGAGAGAGAGAGAGAGCGTGAGAAGAAATGCCGAGGGATTCGATGCACGGGGCACATTTGTCTTGGATTATTTCGTGCCTGTGCACCGCGCGATCGTTTCATCTCCCGGCTCTGCAGAGGCCCCGAGGTCCTTATACGGGAACGCATCTTTGTTAAAGCACATTTTCTCGTCTGGAAGCATTAATTTTGATGCACGACAATATACGCGGGCCTGGCGCAGAAACGATTACCCATTACGAGGAAGCCGCTATAAAGACGCGCATGGGAGATAATGTTGAAAGACCGTTCGATTAGACGGACAGTACTCATTTGTCATCGACTTTGCATTATTTTTCCTTTCTTGTGCACATTCTGTCCGGTAATGGAGTTTAGGTTTCCGTCGATTTACCGTCGATTTGCCACGTAATGCAACGTTTACAGTTAGAATAGATACGTTCGATGCCAAATAGGCTGCTTTCAAGTATCATTCTTAACCAACAGTCGATGACCTTAGATATTCAATTATAAGAGGATCAGTTGGCAACAAGGAAGGTCTGTAAGGAGGTCTAATGTTAAACGACTGTCAGAAACACTCAAAGTGACATCCCATGCTGTTTCCTGCTATGCTATTACGGGTTATATGTAATATATTAACGAATTTTTTCAACGAACAATAGGACTGGACAAAGTTCAATACTTAAAGATCTAAATTACATATCCAATAGTGCTGCTTTTATTTTTCGAACTAATAAAGGAAACGTCTCCAATTTTAACACGCGCACACCTATATCGGCGTTATCTGATTAGTAAGCGATTGGTATCGTTCCGCTCGATTTTTTAATATGCTTCTGACCAAAGTATTACCTTACCCTACGATTTCCCTGAGATTTGCGAATCTACATATTAGTTTTATTCAGTAAAATTCTATTCGATAAGAATTGGCGAATTGGCTCCGGAATCCGCGGCGAATCCTCGCCGATGTCCTTCCGCCAATCTGCCCCGACTGAGATGATCGGCGCGGCGTGCGCCAATCGGTTTCGAAGTCGTGAATACCGCGAGGTGTATTCATCAATCGGCGCGAGACACTACCGTGTCTCGTGATGAATCTACGTATTAGTTTTATCCAATAAAATTCCGTTCGATAAGATTAGCGAGTCGGCTCCAGAATCCGCGACGACTAGTCGACCGATACTCGGACGCGCGACGAATCCTCTCGCCAATGTCCTTCCGCCAATCTGTCCTGACAGAGATGATCGGCGGCGTGCGCCAATCGGTTCTGAAGCCGTGAATACCGCGAGGTGTATTCATCATAGTAGTCATCTGTGCGCCATATTTCGGACAGGGCGCGTGCCGCGTGCCGATAATATGGCGTCCACCGAACGCAATAATTTAGGGAGTCGCGGCCGTGTAGAGAATGACGCGAATTCAGAGACACGGCGGTGGACGGCGTAATGCTAGGGCGCTCTGATGCAGAGGTAATAATTTACACCGATCGTGGCGTAAATATAAGAATATCACAAATGGCATATGGCAATGTCCCTGCCGCGGTTTCTCGCGACGATTAGAACCGCGAGAGGGAGAGGAGCCCTCCGAGTGTTAGCGGCGCCTGAGCGAGGAGCAGGAATAAAATGGACCGAGCTAGCACGGGATTTTCATATCCCCACGATCATTGAACATTTCTCCGGATCTACCGTTAATAATGTTTCAGAAGAACCCAGCGGCATCCCCCTCTATTTCATTTTCTATGTTATTTGGCAAAAGAATCGAATGGATATTTTTCAATGCCCTTAAACCGTCGTAAAATATCGTTTGCAAATATTAAAAAATTGTAATCGCATCTATTTGACGTGTATTTTGAACAACCGGACGACACGGGGTCATATCGATTTGTTGTTATCTAATAATTACTAAAGAATGATATTCCTGACCATAATTATTTTACTATTCAATTACAGTCTCAAATACTTTTCTTTCGGTGTACTCTATTATTATTACCGTTTCGATATTTTTTAATAGTTAAGATATCAACACGAATATTCCGTGATTTTCAGATACATTGGGTCCCTGCAATAAGAAAGCAATTTAGACTTAATTGGAGCGGCGATAGCTCTATGTGTTTGAGTTTTAAGTCATTGATTATTTTATCCCATACAACTAACGTCTAGCCGGCAGCAGAAGGTAATAATAAGATGGCGAGGTCCACCTAATTCAATGTATAGAGCGGTCGGTCGGGCGCTTGAATAGCTTGTGAACTGAGTTTTAGTAACGTGCGGTTTCTCCTTAACTCCCTTTTTTGCGCAACTTCTATTTCTTACTTACGCGTGCACACCTCGCGCCATTATGTTATTTCTATTATTGCTGGCGGATCTGCGTGATGCGAGCTCATCTGCGGCGTAACCCCCCCCCCCCTTTCTTTTCGCCTCCTCGTCGGTTTTCTATCGTCCCCGAGCGACTCCTTTCTATCGCCGGGCAACGTCATACACTCCTGTGCGAGCTATTATGGGGTCGCATTTATGCCACGCGTGTAGAAAAGTGCGTCGAGCCGAAACGCCGACCTCTCAATGCCGATGTCCACGTCCACGAATTATAATAAATCTTAACTGCCCATTTAACCTCCGATTCGATATGTGAATTTGCTCCAGAGAATAAATTAAGATGAAAGATGACTCTGTTACGTTCAACGGCTTTCTGAGCCAACAATCTTGAAGCGTTCATCGCAGGTCTGACGAAACAATCGAGGAAATTCATTGTAACACGCTCGGAATTCGAACTGATCGCTCAATTTTCCAGAGCTGATCTTAAACGAAAAAATTTACTGCGATCAATAAACATGTCATCTTTTGGTTTTAACTGTTTCCCATCAGTCTTTGCAAATGTAGGAATCAAGTTTCCTTGTTATCAGCGATACACCACTCCTCCCTATGCCACAATCTTAAGTTTTATCCGACTACCTCGTTTTATCCGACTTTCCTCTGTACCGTTTGTGAAGGGTAAGTTAAACGGGTGGGAAAGAAATTAGTTTCTGCGAGATTCAGCTCATTCGGTGCCTAATACTACGAGGGCTGAAATTTGTTGTACGATTTTCAACAGCACGATTTCTATAGAAATAAAGAATGCGTTTGATGATGAAGCTCGACCTTCGGCCGAGCGGCGATCGAAAACCGGCTATCTCGTGCGCGGTGCAGTTTCTGGATGAGCAACGAGTTTCTTTGAACGCGCGCTTCGTCCTCCGGGGACATCCTTACCGAGAACTCAGATTATTATATCATAACGATCGGCAGTTAAAGCGGCACTTATGATTTATCGGATTGCTCTCGCTCGAGGAAATCCTTTTTTTCTCCCTCTCTCTCCTTTCCTTCGGCTCGGGCATTAAGTTGCGCGCGCGTGATATCGATTAAGCCCGTTAATTAGCACATCCCGATGAATATTTTCAACCTTACTTGACGTTATCGTTTCGTTTCGCTTAGTGCGTATCAGCGAGAGCACTTTGTTACTTTTTAACAAGTTTTCCCGAGGATTAATTTAATAATTAGCGAGCAAGTCGGCGTGTCAAAGCGCTTGTATACTTTTCACGCTTCGCCTAATGGAAGGCGTGAAATTAAATGACTAAGCAGGTTGATACGAAAATTACACTGCTAATTAGTTTGTCGTTACGTTTGTATTTTTTTTCTTCAAACAGAACGTCCATGTTAACACTTGTCGACATAATAAGCGTCGAGATAGTTTTGCAGATGCAAGGCGTGTGCAGTGTTACGCGAAATTTATAATTATTTCTAAATTCGAAACTTTAAGTTAAAGACACACACATCCAGTTCCGATCGTGAACTTATGTCTTGTATGGCAATTAATAGACGAGATTAAAAATTAGCAATATTATGAAACATATTAGTGCCGTTTTCAGGTAAAAAGGTAATTTTTTTCGAGGAACTTCAGGGCGGTGCCTAGAAAAATTCGGGAGCGAATTGCATTGCGTGAGACGCATTTTGATACGGTACGATACTGCGAACGAGTTAGGCTGACTTTGATAATCGGTTCCGCATATCCTCTTGTTATTCAATGATTGCCCCGAAAGGATTAACGAGTTTCCGAACGGGCCGAACGTCGAGACGATGGAAAAATCCGCTCGACACGGAGTCAGATGGCTATAAAATTGATCTTCGTCCGGGGTGCCGA